GCGGCGGTCGGGCGTTGGTCGGGGTACTTTTCGCCGGGGGACCCCCAGGGGCCGCCCCGCGATTTTGTTTGTGTGTATTTATTTGTGTGTCCCGGGGCCCCTTCACAGACCAGCTCCTGCTCCTCCCTCCGCACGCTTCGCCTCGGCAGCCCTCGCCTCCCGTGTGGCTGGGGCCTGAGAGAGCACGGGCCTGCACTCACCACCCACCAAAACACCCCAACCCAACCCGAAGGCTTAGATCTACCCTCGATTTCCAGTGGGGGGGGGGGTCGGGAGACATCGAAAAAACACATGTGGAACCCTTCACCCCCCCAGCCCGAAATTCGGGTCTTCGGGTTGGGTTGGGGTGGTCTGGTTGGTGGTCGTGCACGCCCACCGCGTGGGCGACCGCAGGCAGGTGCTCCTGGACCTGCCACGCGCGGCGGTCCGCTGCGACTGGATGGTGCACGACCTCGGGCGGGGCCCGGCACTCTCGGGCCGACTCCTCCGCTCCTCTGTCGGCCGTCCTCCTCCTCCTCCTCCTCCTCCTCCTCCTCCTCCTCCTCCTCCTCCTCCTCCTCCTCCCGCTCCCCTCCCCCTCCCCCTCCTCTCCTCCTCCTCCCCCTCCTCCCCTCCTCCCCTCCTCCTCCTCCTCCTCCTCCTCCTCCTCCTCCTCCTCTAGGATCTTTGCAACTCGGGTCGCACACGCAGACATCCCATGGGACGAGATGCTGTCCATGGCCCCAGAGCCGTCGGCCAGCCAATGCTGCTGGGGCGCACCTGGGCGGCCTTCCACCTCGGGCGGAGCGAAAAATCGACTCTGATCCTCCGAACCCTGCGGCCTTCCGCACGTCGCCAGAGCTCGCGCCCTGCAACGCGATGCACACACCTGACTCTTTGGGCCCTTGGGGAGGAGGAGGAGGAGGAGGAGGAGGAGGAGGAGGAGGAGGAGGAGGAGGAGGCGAGGGGGAGAAGAGTAGGAGGAGAGGAAGAGGAGGAGGAGGAGGAGGAGGAGGAGGAGGAGGAGGGTGTCTATGGCCGCAAAACCTTTCCAGAAAAGCTTTTTTACAGCACCGGCGCTATCTCTACATCGAGCGTCGAGCGTCAGGTCCCCGGTCGTGGCCTGCAGAGTTTCGGCGGCCCCCCCTGGAGCTCGGCACAGGGAGCCCTCTGCTTGAAACCAGGGAGAGGAGGAGGAGGAGGAGGAGGAGGAGGAGGAGGAGGAGGAGGAGGAGGAGGAGGAGGGGAGGGGCCCTCTTCCCCACGCGACGAGCCTCGAGTCTCTCTGATGACACTGACACCCAAGGCGCATCTCCTCGGGCGCGGCTCGGACCAGTGGGGCCCCCCCGAGCCGTCCGACCCCGCCGCGTCCCCAGGCTCAAGCCTGCAGGGTCCAGCCTGGAGGGAGGGAGAGACCACGGGGCGCACATCCGCGACCGTGTCCGCGAGGCCCTGGGTCCAGGGAGTCGGGGGAAGGCCTGCTCCTCATCATCCTCCTCCTTCTCCTTCTCCCCCCTCCCTCTCCGCTTTCTTTGGGGCGGGGGCGACGAGGGCGGCCGTTCGGCGGCGGATGGGGCAGGTGCCGATGGTCGGAGCGAGGCGTACCCAGACATCGGGCGTCCCGACAAATCGAGACCCAGGTTTTTCATTGGTTTCGGCCTCTCGGGGCCCTGCCAGGGCCTCGGGACCGTCATGAAACGACCTGGGATGAAAAACAGATTCTGTTGAGGAGGTCGAGAGGTCGGGGGCCCGTGTCTCGGAAAAATCGTGACGCCATATGTTTGGGTGGTAAGAGCATGCTTTGGTTGGGGGAGGGCACTAGATATCTGGCCTCCCAGATAGGACCCGAGCAGTGGGGTCGGAGGATCCCGCCGCATCGCTGGTGCATCGGCGATGCGGCTCGATCAGGAGCCCGATTGTGTTCACGCCGACTGCGCCCATGCGTCGCCGACGTCGCCGACGCATCGACGATGCATTGGCGATGCATCGGCGATGCGGCGCGATCTTCCGACCTCGTCTATTCGGACCCCATGTGGGGGGCCTCTACTGATGTTCTTCGCCTGTGCGGCCCCAGTACTGTAAGGTTGGGTTTGGGGTTGGGGGTTTGCCATGACTTCCTAGACAGGCCAGGCAGTTACGGTCTTGAGGCTACCTGGAGAAGACGACTCTCGGTGGCCTTATGTTTTGCGGTATTTTTGCCGGCGGAAGGGGCGCATGTTTTTGTATTATGTTTTTCTGCCCCTGTTGCAATTGTACGGTAGGTTCGCGTCGTGTCCACTGGCGGCGACCCCGCCGCCGGCGCTCAACGTTGGACGCCTCTGGCGGCCTAACGACGGTCGATGTTGAACAGTCTGACGTTTCGGCGGTTGCCGATCGTTCGAGGTTGAACGATCCTCGCGGTGTCGGGAGCCAAAGCCGGGGTCGACGCGACACAGATTTGCCGTGCGCAGGTAGGCACCCGCCTCGAGAAGGGCTCGCAGAGCGGAGCCTCGTCGCCGAGGAGAGGCCTGGGGGTACAGGG